AAGCGAAGGCGCGATGGCAAAATGCCCTCAGCCTTAGCCTCCTACGAGGGGAGCTTTCCAGTTCCTCGGGCAACATGGAAACCCTTAACGCCCAAAAGCAAATGGAGAAACATGTCTGCATATGTGTGAACGACCAAACGGAGGCCTGGGAAGGCCATCTCAAACATCTGTCGCCTCTCTCTCTTCTGGAGTTTTTCTGGACCACATGACTCGCTCAGGGACAACTTAGACCCCTTGAAGTGCCTGCAGCGACCCCCAATGATGATCTGGCCTGACAAAAATTCAAAAATGGAAGGATGCTGAATTTCAATGTTTGAGCATTCCCGGAACACAGGTCTGGGCTTCTGACCATTGCATGAGGCCTCCAAGCAAACCAAAAAGCAGATGTGCAAACATGTGCGATCTTGGGATTCGGGAAAGCCCTGAGACGCCCAGGACTAATCACGTCCAATCTTCATTTTCCACTGCCTGTACCCAACATCTTCGCGACCTGGGGACTGCCTTCCAAGCAGGAGTCTCGGATGTACCATGCTTCATTTTCCTTCCAAACATTCACACACGAAATGTTGCCTGTCTGTAAAGATGCCGGAACCTCATTGCAGTCTATCTTGAGACATCTTGATAAAGATTGCAGCCATCTGTAGGTCCGTTTGTAGGTGCGGCACGAAGCGTCATCTCCACATCTTCGGTAACTCCGATAGCTCGAGCCAGGCTTCACAGATCTCAAAGATCTGGCCCTGGCCTCTCCGTTCAAACTTGGAGTGGAGCCAGGCTGGTAGGGTCAAGGTAACAAAGAACACAAACAGATGAGGTTCTCATTCTGACCTCGTCCATGGCTCTGTTCCAGAACCTTCTCGAAACCTGATGCTGACAGTTTGCCTTTGCTCCGGCACTCACCTGGAACCCCCAAAGCTCCGTTTGCTGGGCTCCAAACGCTGCCTCGACAGACCCATCTAACAAGGCCAAAGGACCGCAGAATCTAGCGACAAACGTTGCACTGAAGCGCTCTGTGAAACTTCCAGCAGTACGTAGAGTAGAGTAAGTGCCAGCAGTCTATTGCAGGGAATGCCAGCTGAAACTGCTGCAGACATCTCAGCGAAAACAAACGTCCCAAGCATCAAAGCAAGATAGCTTCGTGCTGTTTGTACAACTGCTGCTACTCTTTGCCTGGGACCAGGGTTGTCAGCCCGAAACTGACTTGAGAGATTCTTTCTGCGTTGCGAGAACAACGTAGAGGAGACTTTTGTGCGCTGCACTGCTACTCTTTAGTCAAGACAGCACATGCCTGGCTTTGCCAAGAAGTGACCATCTGCTTCCTCTTCTGCATCGACCATGACTTATCGGAGCCAATTTGGCTGATGGCCTTTTCGATGATCTTCACTGCTTCACCAGAAGCTCGGGCCCTGTTCCAAGGTGAATCCACGCCTGCTCACATTGCAGCAAGATCTCAGAGTTTTCAGTGCTTGTGCAAAGTGCTTTAAACTCTTTGACAATAAGTTGAAGAGGCAACTCTTTTAAATCGTGCGTTGCGTGCATCCTGCGGAAGGGCGTTAGCAGAGCCCAGTAGGACCGCAAGGCTATTTCGCGAGTAGGCAAGGTCACCCAAAAAGATCGTACTCTCGCTTTTGTATTTATATCGCATTCCCACAGACCCATTTTGCAGACCCCTTTTCAAGCAAATGCCAGAATCCCCTGCCTCAGGGACATTGCCCAGCTTCCGCAGCTCACTCGCATGAAGCTGCAGCCACCTACAAAAGACAAGGGAAGAATCGAGAAACCTCTTTCACTACTACACTGCGCTACAATGTGCCACAGCCCTCGTCAGCCCAAGTCAGCCCAAGAACAGCAACCGCCTTCCGGATGCATCTTTGACGATCTTGTGACCGAGCACACGCTGCCCCACGCCACGCTCGCCCAACACCCTTGACCTGGAGCGAGCGCTGTAGGGCTTTACAACTGCTTTTTACAAGTGCCCTACAGCTGCTTCACCTCTGCTTTACGTCCCGGTCTGCAACGAAGACCAATCCAGTGCAACCAGCCGAGCAGCTTCACATCAGGGGCTGATCGTACAAGCGCACGTTCTTTCACCAAAAACCTCCCATTGCTTAACGATGCTTAAAGCAGCTATCTGAAAAGCTAAGGCAAGTCGCTTGGGAGCTGAGGTCATGACCAGCTTTTTGTGCTTGCAAGCATGACCTGCAGCTCATCCTCCTGTCACCGCGTCCACCAAGCAGCAGGAGTATCGCAGCGCACAAAGACATACAAAGATGCAAGAGCTGACACGACTCTGTCCTCCTCCACGAGAAACTCATGCGCCTCATCAAGGTCCTCGTCCTTTGTGACATCGGATCGCATGCTCATTCCGTTGTTTCTGGCAGCTGCTTTCCAAGGCTGTAAGAACCTCCACAACGTGCAGGGTGAAGGCCGGAGTGCCTCCGTCGCCTCCTTGCAGCACCATGGGGCAAGTCATGAACAACAGCAGTAACTAGCAGGCACGCTCAGGCACCGGCCAGGGCAGTAGACAAAGAGATCCTCTGCAGGCACATCAACTAGCAGGCTAGAACATTCGCATGAATCTGAGTTCGGGAAGGATGTTCTTTTTCCGCCGTGAAGAATCACGTGTTGAGACGGCACGTAAAGCACGTATGGTGAAGCATGCCGATTCTTCAATTTCCATAAACTGCATTTTGCGCTTTTGGTTGTCAGAACCTCATTTTGAGCTTCCGGAATTGCGTCTTCCAGTTTACCGGATCACATTCTCCCAGTTTCCCAATGCGTTCTTTTGCAGTTTGATCAACACTCGGGCAGTTTCCTGAATCGGGAAGTTGTCTGAATCAAGCAAAGGCCTGCGCGATTCCTGTTTTCGAATCGGCCAGCTTCCAGCACGCAGTTTCCTGAACCGCCTAGTTTCTTGAGTTTTGCGTTTCAGAATCGCAGCAGTTTCATAAACTTAGGCTTGCTTGTCCTGATTTTCTGAACTGCGACTGCTTTCTGAATCGTGGCATGTTCATGTTTGGCAGTCATCGCTGCTTGTCCCAGAATCTAGTATGATCGTTTCCGATGGCGCTTTCAACAGGTACTGTCAGACATGCTTGCCATATGTGACGCGGCAATTGCCGCTGAGAGGCATTGACATCGTACATTGGCTTTGGGTTTGTGGAGCTTCTGCGCACCCTTGTGCGAGTCGCAAGAGAGTTTCAAGAGAAAGTCTGGAAGTTGGATCTCAAGACAGCATCTCTGGAAGCAAAGTCGACCAAGCGCCCTTTTTGACTTGGACTTCATGGTGAGCTTGTGGGTTCCACTTTTCCACTCCACTTCAAGAACAAGGCCGCAAGGCCTGCACGCGTCCCGCAAAGGCTCACGCAACAACGAAACAACTGCCGAAGCCATGGCTGCGCCAGGTGGTGTGAATGAACTGAAGGGAAGAGTGCGCAGCAAAGCAGAGCACCATGGCCGTTAGAAAGAGCAGGCAGCGCTGTGCAAGTTCCACAATGTGCACGAGTGCGCTGCCCACACTTTTGCAAATCCTGACCTAGCCGCAAGTACTTTACATCATACATTATTAGTCTACATCATTCTACATCCCACCCATCTGCTGCTGTTTTAACACTGTCTTGCCTGTCGTCGAGAAGGAGCAAGTTTTGCATCACGTGGCCTTTGCAAGAGCACGCGACATGCTGGATAAAGCTCCACTGAAACGATGTACTAAAGTCACCGACAGCCCAAGAAGAGTGTTGATCTCCTCATGCTGCTTCTTGACCTCCGGCAGTCAACTGCTTTGCAACACTTAGCACCAAGTTCCAAGCAGCTTCAAGCAGCTACAAACGGCTACAAGCGGCTACAAGCGGCTACAAGCGGCTACAAGCTACAAGCGGCTACAAGCGGCTGCAACGAGCACCTTCGTATTCTTCATGGCAGACATGATGCGGGTGAACATTTCTCCCACCTTCAAGTGTGACTGCGCAGTGCAATATGCCAAAGCAGTCTTGAACAACTACTCCTTCGCAACTGAAAACAACGGGGGTTGGGCGGGGGGGGGGAGGCAGGAACCCCCACATTCTCAAACACAATGCTCGCATGACTGTCAAGATTTTGGGGGGGCAGGCCAGCTATTTTGCAAACACAATGCTCGTACGACTATTTCATGATGCAAAAAAACAGGGTGGGTTCTGTCAAAGTTGGGCGAGGGGGTCGTAGCCACCGCATTTGAAAACGCAATGCTCGTATGATGGGCTTGGACGATTTCATGTTTTCAAGCAGCCCCTTTCGCTGGGGGTTTGCACAATCTTATGGAGTGTATCTATATTATTGTAACATATTGTTTGGTACTTTCGTATCTTCTCTCCTTCCTCCCTCCCCTTCCTTCCCTTCCTTCCCTTCCTTCCCTTCCTTCCCTTCCTTCCCTTCCCTCCCTTCCCTCCCTTCCCTCCCTTCCCTCCCTTCCCTCCCTTCCCTCCCTTCCCTTCCTTCCCTTCCTCCCCTTCTTTCCCTTCCTTCCCTTCCTTAAGTTCCCTTCCTTCCCTCCCTTCCCTCCCTTCCTTCCCTTCCCTGCCTTCCCTGCCTTCCCTGCCTTCCCTGCCTTTCCTGCCTTCCCTGCCTTCCCTGCCTTCCCTTCCTTCCCTTCCTTCCCTTCCTTCCCTTCCTTCCCTTCCTTCCCTTCCTTCCCTTCCTTCCCTTCCTTCCCTTCCTTGCCTTCCTTCCCTTCCCTCCCTTCCTTCCCATCTTCCTAACTACCTTCCTACCCTCCTACCCTCCTACCCTCCTACCTTCCGACCCTCCTACCTTCCTACCTTCCTACCTTCCCACCTTCCCACCTTCCTACCTTCCTACCTTCCTTCCTTTCCTTCCTTCCTTCCTTCCTTCTTTTGCTTCTTGCTTTCCTTCCTTCCTGACTGCCTTCCTTCCTTTCCTCTTCTCTGCTTAGTAAACGTAAGACAACATCAAAAACCCACAAACATTCTACCTCGAACATCCCCACATTCATCCTCGTTAAAGAGAAAGAACGCACATATGATGCTCTAGCAAAAGAAACATTGGTTCAAACGCGCCTTCTTAGTTTTTGCTTGCAACTGGGGTTGGGCACTCCAAGGACACTCTGGGGTTGGGGACCCCAATGATGAGCGAGGAGTAGACCGGGCGAGGAGAAGAGTTGAGTTTAACATCTAACAACCCCACACGGAAGGTGGGGAAAAACCACATAAACATCCTTTGAAAATAGAATTCCATTACCAATGCAGTTCCAGCAGCTTCAACATGCCAGCTCCCATACTGACTCAGAATGAAGAGTATGTTTCCATCCTCCCCGGGAGCATCTTCATTGTCTGGAGACTGTCTGGAGATCCCTGGGAAGGGTTCGGGTCTCAGGCCTCTGGTGTTGGGCGGAGCAGTGGCTGATGGCCATATTTTTTGTTTTGTCCAGCTGAATTCCTGTTGCTTCTGCAGAAAGGCTGCCTGGCTAGGTCTCCCGACACCTGTCAGCAAAGTGTGCCGAGTGCTCGACATACCCCAAAGGTGCTTTTTGTTTGGGTTGACGGGGCCTTTGAAACGCCGCGGGACGCCTTCTACGGTGATTGAAGAGTGGCTCTGGTAGGCACACAAAATCAACACGCGCACTTCGCCCGACCATCAACAAAAAGGACTGACACGTCATAACCATGACAGCCACTCATCAAGCCCCACGAACGGTTCCCAAGCACGGATGGCCAACGGCTCATTTGCGCCTCTAACTGCAATGGAAGCCACTCACAGCTGAGGTGTCAACTCCATCCCAGTCGCCTCTCAATCCATGTGCTGGCAGTACTCGCTGATATCTTGGCAGTGCGGCAGCTGGTCCGCACTGAAACCCAAGCTCGTTAAACAAAAAAACTCAACACACACGGTGACTCGGGAAGCAGGCACTGTCATCACAAGCACCTCTCCATGTTGCGATTTGTTCTGCTTGGACGCCGTCTTTAAAAGAAGACAGGCCAGGCAGGCCTCAAAAGCCTCGAAGTATGCCTTGCCATCCTCAGATCATCCGTACTCAAACCTAGCAGATCTAGCAATCCGCAACATTCACCACGCACGAACCGGCACAGCCTGCTCTAATAATGAGATTAAGGAACGAACGTTGTGTCCTCTCTGCTTTCGCCTCGCTGCTCGGTAGCTCTTTGAGATTCTTTGAAGCAACGCTTGTGTGGTGAATTGTTTTATCCCTGGCTTGCGGAATGTCTGGCGCTCTCTCCTCTGCAACAGAGGCAGGCATAGGTGCCGACCATCACTGCGCATGCCAGCCGAGCAGTTCACGTGGGCAGAAGGTAAGCAATTGGCTTGAGAATGCTTGAGAGAGCCGACTTTGCAATGCGTATGGATGAGGGTAAGGCATGATCCAAATGTCTGGAAAGAAGGAAGCTCAGGCAAGGCAGAGTTGAGCATACTGCTCTCGAAACCAGTGAATGCAGAGGTTGCCCCAGTCATCCCCAGTCGGCATTCTAAAGAAAACCTTCTGAGCAGTTGGCTGAGGGTACTGTTTCTGCAAGCGCAGTAGCCTCCAAGTTGCATCCGTCACATGCGTGTTGAGTTATGCCAGGAGTTGCCTCCTTGGCTTCTTTCCTTCTGGCAGCCAAGAAGCTTCTGCTGAAAGTCCGCACTCTTGAACGCACCCAGCAGCCTTTCCTGCTCTGAACTGTAGTGGAACTGATCAGATGTTCATCGTGCAATCAGGCAAGTCAAGGCCTGCAGCTGGAGAGCTTCAGGGACGGTCAACTGAACTCCAACATCTACCGGAACCGGGCCTGGCAGCGAACGCACACATTCTGTGTCGAGATGTGTCGAGCGCATACCGAGTGAAGAGCCGATCAGAGTCTTGAGATGCGTATGACTTGACACAGCTCAGAGACTGGCCTGGAGATGGCGATGCTCCAGTTGAAACTCCATCTGGACCTCCACCCTGGACCAAGACTACAAGCTTGCAGATGCAAGGAACTCTGCGGCAAAATTGAGGTTCTCGCTGAAGGCACAGGGCGTGGCTTGATGAAGCCACTGCTCTCGAAGAAGTTCCGCAGCTCGGTGTCCTGAGCTGCATACTAATGCGAATTGAGTTTTTTTACGACTGCTTGCTCATGGCACTGGGATCTGGGCCGACCAATTTTCGGCTTCGGCTGGGATCTCGAGGTTTGCACCTTGCCAAAGGGCGACAACCTGAGACAGCCTGCAAACGGACCTCTCAGGGTCTGCGAACCTTTGTGATCCGTTGTGATCCTCCGTGAGCCTGTGGGCCATCCCGGGCCACCCTGGGTCTCGCACAGCCCGGAAATTCATTTCGAAGTTCCTCACGGTGCAAAGCCGGGGGTAGACAAAGTGCCGGCTCGATGGAAGAAGGGGTGCTCTACCAAGACACCGCATGTGCCTGTAGATGAGCAGCTCGAGATGACGGAGCTGCCTTGCATCTGGGCTGACATCTGGTTGCTTCTTCTGGCACGGTTCCCATGCTGAGCACCTCATTCACTGGCTCCAGCAACACCTGCGCTGTGAATGCAGCCCTGTGTATCCTGTTGGACAGCAAGTCTTCATCTTCTTTCTCCTTCTCCTTCAACCGCACGCTGACCCATCCCTCCTTGCAGGTACTGCTCACGGCTATCAAATCGTCAGTGCAGTGATCTGCGTGTCTCCTCAGGTCCGTTGCCCTTCAACAACCTGTATTTGAGACGATCGCCGGCTCGTGCCACTTCCTCGGGCTCGGGGAGACCAGAGCCACGCTGTCAGAACAACACAAACCCTAGTTGCAGTTAATCGATGTGGGTACTCCGCCATTGATTGCACCACACCAGGGACACTCAGCGGTACACTCTGGGGTGGGACATGCAGGACAGGAGACCGGGCGAGGCGCGCGGACGAGGAGAACGGCTGACGAAAAATCGAACAACCCCACACCGGGGGGGAAACAAACGACAAGCGAAAGCAGCACAAGATCGTCACGCTGCCTGTACTGCTCGTTCTCCAGTCTTACTTCTGCCAATGTTGACATCCGTGCTTCGGATGCACTACGCGTTGGTGGCTTGTATGAATGAGGTCCAAGGAGGCGCTTGGGTTCACTTCACGAGCAAATAGCCGTTAGAACATTAGAGACAAGAAAGCCCCGGCACGGTCCTCCACCAGCGAGTTTTTCTCCAGCTTCGAAGGATGCTCTGCAGAGCTCAAATGACGGCCAACCTGCTGCACCCCAAACGACCCAAATGAACTTCAAATCATATCAAATCATCTACAAATCTACAGCTAGTAGGCTAGGGCCTTCTTGCTAAGGCCCATGCGCGAACAACAATTCCCCCCTTGTCTCCGCCACCCACAACTTCCCACTTCTGGCCTCACTTGCAGCGCGCCCAGAAATTGTGGGCAGTGCACTTGTCTCTCTGTATTGTGAGTGCAACTGAGGCTCCTACCACCCATTGCTAGCACAAGCTTCGATCATGCTACTTCCAACGACTACCTAAGTAGCTAGTAGCTAGCGGTATGGCAGTATGCCTGGATGCACGCATTCATGGTTCTGTCGAGATATGTTTGCCAGACTATCTGACCTTGAGCTGAATAGAGCACGACAAAGCTGTGGGTGAAGGCCGCTAAACCGACACCTTTTGCCATGTCCAGAAAGGAGGAAATTGTTAGATTTGTTTTGGTCCGGCTCCGCTCTTGCTTCCTCCATGAGCACACTGACCTTTGCCATTAGCTCCTGCGACATGACAGCCGAGCCACAACCATGACAACTGCGACTGCAACTCAGCTGAACAGAAGCCTCCACCGGCCAAACTCCAACAGGAAGGACAAGATCGGCCTCAACACAATGACAACGCCGTGACTACGTCGTCATGCCTAGTTTTATGCTCAAGCATCCTCCATCAGCGGTGCCAGCAACTGATTGGCCAAGCCCACCAGCCAAGTGACCTGCCATCGAATCTGCTGAGCACACACAGAACAGAAGCAGACGAAGGTGACGAAGCATCAGAACAGTGCTCTCCAGAAAGCCAAGGACCTTGGTGGCCACATTGTCGTGCCGCAGCTCTTGGCTCGCCTTACAGCAGATCTCAAGTAAACGAGGCCCGATTGGGCTTCCGGCGAAAGGAACCTGTATTTTCTTAGGACAGAAGCCCATTGCAAGCATGCAAGCATCCCGGGGGGTCAATGGGGTCAGTTGCCAACGCATTCAGGGCAAACTGGCTGGACCACTCTGACCAAGATGGGTCTTTTCATGGAAGAACAAGCCGACCCCAAACAAATTTCAGTGATGTTCAGTGTTCCAACATCGGTTCTTCCAACACGCGAGGCCCAAAGAAGCTGAGATAAAACATTGAAGACTCGGAACATGTGGAAAACGTATATCTCTAACTCTCATTCAATGCACGCACAAAAATAATCCAATTTTAGTGCAAATTAATTCTTGCATGGTTAGGATAAGAATTGGTACGGGAACAAAAGCCCATGTTAACAGATTTCTGCTTATGTTTCACTTGCAGCATAATATTGGGGATGCTCATTCACTCGCTATTGATACTGAATCTGAACAAGTAAAGGAAATGAACATGTGGACCTTTTGAAAAAGCAAAAATGGTTTTTTGCTCACCTCGTTCGCACAATTACCAGCGAAGACCGCAAACAGCCAAAGAGATTGAGCGAAACCGAGTGCGATTTTGGAAGCAGGTTTAAAACCAAGCTGTGCAGCCATGATCATCGGGCACGCTTCTTCTGCGAACACTTACGGCACGGCATCGTGAATCCATGACCACTCGCCTGTTGCAGGCATTTTGCTGCCCCATGGCGGGAAAAGCAAAAAGCCCAGAACTTGGCATTGGGGGATTGGGATTTGGCACTCGAGGCTGAAGGATATCCCCACTTTTGGGCCGCAAAGAAAGCTAGGTAATCCCTGTCCGATGCACTGGAATCTCATCTGACCGGCCCGCGCGTTCCCTGATCCGTCTCCAAGCAAGCTGGCCAGAAACAACAAACACAACTGCAGCAACACTCAACAACGGACCTGCAACAGCAGCGCGCAAGCCTCATGCTGTCAGCAGCGATTCAGGTTTGCTTGTGGAACTCCACAGGTCTTTGAGAGTCAAGCCAGACCCAAGTGGCAATAACCGTCCAAGCCTCCGCTTTCTTCAGAAGGGTGCACAACGCGAGCAATGTGAGCATCGTGCCTCGAATGTCGGCCTGCTACAGAGTGCAAGTGCAATCTCATGTGAAATGAGTGAAATCGGAGAAGACACCTTGCCATGCAGAGTTAGGTTGGTCAGGAAGTGCTTCAATGGCTGGGTGATCGCGTCAAGAACCTGCACGGTTTTCAGGCGCGTTTAAGGAAGTTTGGGCGCGTACGGTACGAGTACCCGGTTCATGCCTGAACATCTGCAAAGCAAAGTACATCCCACTGCTTGCCACCCAATACCCTTGCCAGCTCTTTTACCAGCCTCGATGTTACGAATATCTCTAAAGCAGCAGGTTTTCTCGGGCTCGCGCTGTGTTTCGAAGGCTTTTTTCTGTGGTTTCCGCCTGGTTTTCTTCTAGCCACTCTTTCATGGTTGCTTTGTAGACACGTGCGCACTTGGAGTCAGTGTCTAGAACCAGTAAGACATCACCTGATTCGCGAAAGCTGGAGACGTCTATGTTTTGCAAGGATCCTATAGTCCTCGTGACCTGATGCTGCGCAAGCTCGTTTATGATGAAAGGAGATGCAAGATGGCACGATATAAAGGCTCAAAGAATGCACTTCACACCACTGCGCTGGTTGCTGGCAGTGTTGTTCATGATGCAATATTTTCGGTCATGAAAAAAAGAACGTGCCGGCAACTAGTGCGCCCGGTCCACCCCACAACACGGCAACGTTTGTGCTGGGAACGACTGGTCCGCCAGAGATGCTGTTCTGCCTCTGCTCAATGTGCGAAATTCGGACCGTAAGGATCAGGCACTGGAACTCCTCGCGTTCCTGTCAGCCTCGAAAGCCTGCCAAGTGTTCGCCAACGCATAGCAGCACCGTGACAGCCTGCCAGCCTCGGTCCGGCTACGCAGCGACTATGACTGTAAGGTTCGAACCTTTTGCAGGGTAGAGATGGCAATCTCACTGAAGGCAGCAGTCTCTCCGGTCGTGGAACCTGAAACCTTGCACATACAAATTCAACCCTAATGCGCCAAAAGTGTACTTCTGGCCGGATCTTGGTAAGCCGTTGGCTGCATCTGTCTCGAGAGCAGCTCGGAAGGCGGGCCATCCGAATTTGTCGAATGTTTCCTAATGCAATATCAATACTGCCAGTACTCTGTAAAGGACTTCCTTCTGAGGCTCCAACGTGCTCACAGGCCAGCGCAGCATAAAGCACATCTTCCCTCAGTGCACAAATTGACAAAGGTGCAAGCACTGTGCAAGCCGAGGTCAGAATGTTCAGAATCGATGGATCGAGGCCTGCTCACATCCTTCACGGCGATCTCTTCTGACCTTCAGGGTAATTGGCAGGTATCCCGCAGACCCTCAGGAGCATGGAGGAACTCCCAGAACTATTCCGCAACCGACGATGAAGCCGAACAAAAACTCAGCAAGCAACAGAAATAACACATCGGCAAACCACCTGCGAAGTAAAGGTAAAATACAACTTTGATTGCTTCGACCCTGCGGCCACCCAACGTGGAAGCCGTCCTGCCGTTTTCGGACGGGTAATTGCGGATACTGCGCCACGGGCTTCTGTCACGGGACTCTCCGCGAAATTCTCTGGGGGAGGGGGGGCGTGGGCACTTCAGGGAAGCCCTGAGACCCTTGAAAGCCTACACCCTCAACTCTTAAGGCATAACACTGGGGCTAAACAAAAGCCCTAAACTGTGCCAACAACTTTCACCCTAAACCCCGAAAGCCTCAAAAACGAAATGTCCCCGCAGGAGCAGCCTCAAAGCACCAGACCCCCACCAGCAGCAGCACGACAGAAGAACTACATAGAATTGCACTCCACTGCTTTCTAAGTTGGTTTGGGCTGTGTTGGGCTGTGCTGGGGCCTGCTTAAACGGTAAATCTGCTCCCAGTAAATCAGAGCTGAGTCTTTAAACAGCCTCGGCTCGGAGTCAGACCAGGTGCCGCCCTGCATGCCTCAGGCAGTGTGTCTTTAGTCAAGTCAAGTCATCAAGTGAATCAAGTGGCAACAAAGGAGAAAGGACTGACCGCAGCTTCGAGCACAGAGGAGCGAGAGAGAGAGAGAGACAAGAGAAAAAATAAAGAGGGTTCGCTTACGCTCCCTTCTTTTTGGCGCCTGCCAGTAGGGCGGACCACCGGCGCAAGCCCTGCGAATCGAAAACATCGCACCGAACAAAAAGAGCAAGGGGAACAGCTGCGAGATCAAGCAGGCAAATGCGCCAACAAAGCACTCTTAGAAGCAGGGCTTTCGAAATAGTGCCGTCTGCAAACTGACGCGACTCGACTTCGGACAACTGGACGCCTCCTAGACCTGCCGAATTTGGCACACAAAGCACACCCGGCGGCGACTCTAACGGAGTACAGGGGGATGCGCATTCTTTTGTCTGGCAATAGCAACTGGGTTGTTTGAATGTTTTCCATGTGTTCTTTGGTTTCCTCAGCCGTCTTCTCAACACCTTCTTTTTCTCGAGACACGTTGTTCTCTTGCCTCGTCCTTGTTGGCGGAGGACCAGCGAAGCATCTCCTGGCTGACCGATCTGAAGTCTGCCGAGACCAAACCTCGCAAGCAGAAATACCACTAAAGCAATGCCTCTGAATGCCTCATTGCCGAGTCCTTGTGCCAACGTTCCAGCCTTCAAGAAGATCTGGTATGGAGCGGAATCGGAGTGTGGAAGGCCAAGTAGAGAAGTCAGACAACCTGGACAACTGTTTTTGAAGCCCATGTCTCGAAAAAAACGCCGCTCCCATTCCACTGCCTCAACCAGCTCATGACGGCTATCAAGGACTGAGCTTTTTCACACCATACAGGTGGCAACGGGCTGCCTCAACAACCCAATTTCACAAACATGTCGCAAGCAATCTTTCAGGACGCTGGATGCCAAGCCGTCAACCGTGAAGGTGCCCAAGTTGAGTGCCAAATAGAGCAGCGCCGTGGACCATAAAGCCGTAAGGCACAGATTTCTGCAACCTCGAAGTATCGAGATTCTGCGCAAAGAATGTTCGCAAGACCCGTCCTGTCCTGTAGAGCCATTCATCCGCTGGGAGAAACAAAGGCAGACCCATCGTGAATGCCTTGAGTCCCGTCGCAGCATGAGCTGTGGCTTCTCATTCTCTGCACGAGCCTCTGCAAAGGCAGCCATCGTCAAGTCGTTTGGGACAAGAATGGCACAGCGGTGAAGAGCAATGTCCTTATCTTGCACAGGGCCCCGTGGTCTTGGAACCAAAAGCGGATCTTTCCATCTGGGCCCAAATTCGAAGAGGAGCCCAGGGGGATGGAACCCCAGTCCCTGGTGGTCTGTGGGAAATCTGCACTGCTCTGTACTGCTCGCTTGTCACATTCTTGTTGGCATTGTCAGCGCTTCTGTTGTGTCTTGGCCACAAGATGGCAAAAGCTTCTGCAACTCAGAAACCATGTATGGTCAATCTAACCATCTGTATGCCAACAAGATGCAGAATAAGGAACAAACCCCACTTCGTTTGCAAAGCGAAAGTTCAGCGGGACAACGTGGGCATTCCTTGGCAAACATCACTTGCAGGCAGCAGGGCGCCCTGCTGAGGCCATGACTCTCGAAGGAAGGCCTGGACGTGCCAGCAAAACGCGCGCTCTCTTTGCTAACTTTTCTGCCTCTTGATCCATCTTCAGCAAGCATTCTTGAACAACGCAGTCTGAAAGTCTTGAAATATTGTTGATGCAGTCGCCTGCAGCACCGCCCGAAAGTACATTCCAGGGACGCGTGACCACAACATCGAGCGCATTACGAACCTGGGGATGCTGTGGCGATCTGCGGCGGCAATGCTTCAATGCTTCCACTTGGCACACTCAGGTACCAGCACATCCGTCGACCTGACATGCAAAGGAGTGCTAAAGTCGCACAAAGGTTTGGCAGCACGAGCGGACTGGAGCGAAGCCAAGCAGCAAAGCAAGCGCACGAAAGGCTCCGCAAATAATTTGGGAATTCTTCCTTCGTTTTTGGATACTTTTTTGCTTGGGGGAAGGCAATCGGCGAGCAGGACCAGGGGCAGAGGACCAAAAGACCAAAACACCATGAGATCAGAGGACCAGGGAACCGAAAAAACACAAACACAAAACAACAAAAACTTCCAGCACGAAATGCAACAAAAAAATCGCATGCTCATCATGCTCATCATGCTCATGGTCATTGTTTGACTCTTCTTCATGTCGATGCTGCCAAGATCTGCCAAGGGCAGTCCAGATTGCAGACGACGGTACTACATGCTGCTGACTCCGCTCACGCGAAGACTGTCAACGGCAGGGCCCCAAACCAACACAAAGCATGCCGCAAAACTTAGAAGGTCACTGACTCTCATTCTTGGAACTATCCGTTTTCTGGGATAGAACACGCTGGTGGGACTGAACTGCTACAAAGCGGAATGGCTCCATGGCACTCATGTTGGGTGTGTTATTTACTGTCATCTGGCTGTGGCCCATGCCCCGCTCAAAGGAAACTTGAAGAGTGAGGAAGGGCAGGAGGAACACAACATCTTGGCAATCCCTGTCCAAGCCAGTTCACGGCAACTCTCTCTAGCTCTTTCTCTCGTACGGCCGGGCTGGTGCCACTGAGCAAGGTGTGTTTGGACTTGTCTTGCAATGGACTTTCAATGTCGTTGCTTACCGAATGAAGGCCAACCTCGGAAGTACTCCGATACTATTTCTTCTGTTCTTGCCTGCTTGCTTTCTCACTCGCTGAACCCATTCTCGCGTCATCTTCGCGGTTTCCTTCAAGTCGTTACCAAGACAACAGAAGTGTTTGGAGTTTGGAAGAAGTGCCGTTTGCTCCGCCTTGCATTCAGCCCATGCCACTTGTATGGCTCGACATACAGCGCCAAGCGTTTCTGGACCTTGAACCACAGGAAATCTCAGAACTCGGCACGAGGTTCACAGCACGCTGCCAAGCACCTGCGGTTCAGGCATGGCGAGCTGCCAAGCTGCCTGCTTGGCAGCAAAGGCCTCTCAGACTCTTTATACTCTTCAAATGACAATTCTTAGGGCGAGTGCAATATGTGCACACAACCAGATTGCAGCAGATTGCAGCAGATTGCAGCTCTCAGGCTCGCACTTCGCAGGACACAAAGTAGCATCGTGGCCTGGTCCAGGTGGAGGCTCTCAATCACTGGCACAGCTGCACTGTCTCAGTGAGTCCGTTCTGCGTGGCCACATGACACTTGAAACGCATGTTTGTTGTTTCTGCTGTTCTTCAATGCTCATCTGGGAGCAACCGGCCACGTAACGATGTAAGCTGTTGGGTGAACTGGGAGCCTACAGACAAGACTCGAAAACTTTCTGAGATTCACGCAGAGGTGCAGGGAGGGAGCATGCCAGTGAATGAACACGTATGAACACTGGGCTGTCATCATGAGCTATCCTGAAGTAATTCGACAGGAGCAGACTCTTTTCTGGTCCATTTGGCACGCGAGAACTGATGACGTGAAAGTACCTGCTGTCCGAGCAACGACCCAGGAGCAGACAAGGCAGGTATGTGTGCCTTGCCTGGGACGAGTGGGACACCCCTTGACTGGACGAAACAGCCGAGGAAGCCCGAATGCAAGCGCTTACAAGGACTGCCCTATGTCTAGACTCAGGACTGTGATGAGACATGATGAAACGCTTGCAACTGCGGTGCCTTGCGCTGATGGCTTTCATTTCGCATTGCGGCATTTCCCTGCCTTGAAAAGGCCATGGTCCGCAAGAGCCCAAGGAGCGCAGTGGAAGTACCGTTTGTCTGGGCCCGCATTCCATCAAGGAGATGGCGACCTTCACACACATTGCAAAATACTGCCAATTGCACATCATCACTGAAATCATTGCCACACTGAAGCCACAAGATCCTGCAAGCTCCATGTCGTGTTGTGGTGCTGGCACATGCTACCATGAGCTGGTGACGCTTATGCTTCTTGGGCTGCGACAATGCCAAACTAGCATCTGCCGGGCCGGCTCAATGATGTGCAACATGGCCTTGGCCAAACGCTGCTGTACCCAGGTTAACCATTTGTAGGCTCGTCGAGTCCATGCACTCTTTCAGGTAGGGAAGCAGCAATCAGAACAGTCGAGGGTCAGGGTCGCGTGAGTTTGGGCAACGGATGCTCAGCAAGAAGGAGGAGAATGCGAGTCGACTGTCTAACGATAAGGACCATAGCTTACAGGGAAGCCTGCAGCTCACCCACCTATTGTTCACCACGCACTGTTTACGACAAACCTGCTGACTCAGATCCTTGCGCAGAGGACTGCCGGACCACTGCAAACCCAAAAGGACTGGCGGACGACGGCATCAGCCTTTCTCGCCGATGAATTCATCGCTATGACTTATGGCGCAAAGAAAACTGAATCACAGAGCAGGCAGAGCCTCCACAAACTGGAAAAGGAGGGCCAAGCTGTCATGCAAACTCCATGCCTGCAAGATCACTTTGTCTAGCGCACTGGAAAGGACTGCAGTGCTTTGGAAAAGCCTGTTCCACATGCTGATCAGCGAAATCCTCAGCTTCTGACTGACTTCAGAAGCGCACCGCAATCATAGACCCGTAGACTCATCGACGTTTAGACTTTAGACTCTTCGACCAGGCACCCCACGACCAGTGTTGCCAGCAGCTCTGCAATCGGATCCATCTTCGGCGTGACCTGTACTCTTGCCGTCTCTTGCTGTTGACTCTGCCATACCACATGCAGTGGGACGTTGTTCTTTACTCTAATGCCAAGCCTAAGGCCGCAGGGCTCCCTTGCGCCTCGCCCATGCCAACTACAAAACGTGGTACCGACAAGGTTTTCTGGGGTTGTACTATGGACTGGAAGCGATGTTTCCACAAGCTGGCTGGACATAGTACGAGCTTAGGACTGGAAGCGATGGTTCCGTAATCCGGCTGGATTGTCTCTGTTTGTAGTACAGGCTTAGCACCGGTATCGATGTTTCATGACATGTACAAACCAGTTTTATTGTTTGTTGCGACGCCCCTGTCGCTTTTGGGAAGTTTCCTGGCATTCACAACAACTTGTGTCCTCCTCAATGCTGGCTTAGATACACAAATTTTGGCGGCTGCGCAAATCACAACTGGAAGCTTGGATCTCCTCCTGGCCTTCGGGCTTTTTAGGAATTACTCGGAAGATCTTTTGACTTCCCCGAAAACCACAGTAATGCCCCTAGATCAAAGGGCTTCCCTGTAGGGGCCCCCGACGCCGGCCACACGCGAAGCCCCAGGCCTAAGGTTTGTACAAAAGGCTGGGGATGAGCCTTGAGAGGCCCGGGGCCCTAAGCTCTAAATCCTCAACCTTCAGAAGTCGCATTTAGCCCAATCAAAATATACGTGTTTAGGGTTTCAGGCTTAGGGTTTAGGCGCGTTTAAAGCTTGTGAGTAAGGGTCTGGTTGAATTTGCGGGTCCGACTAGACGCGCGTATCGTGTTTGGCTATCCTGAGTTATTGTTGGAGCGTTTGTAACGGACGACTCTAGAGCTTGAAGTTTCTGTTTCTACCTCTAGACTCGAACCGCAGAGTACCGCAGCAGGCTAGCACTCTACCGGCGCATCCTTTTTTCCCGTGATGCTTCTGGCGTCAAGTGCCTGCCAAGCATCGTTCTGGATTTCTTCACGCGATCTGGGCCGGGGCGCAGTGCGAAAATCTCGGGGTGGAGCTTTAGGCAAGGCGGCCATGGCGACCGAGAGCTGCAAGGCTCACAGAGTGGAGGCCTGTTGGGAACCCGTTGAAACCTCGGAGGCTCAAAAGGATTCCAAAGCTTTTCAAAGAGTCTGAAAATGTTGGAGCCTAGAGGTTGCAGTTATCTAGAAGGCAAGAAAACAGAAACACACAGGAAACAAAAACCTGAAGCGCTTTGAGAGCCTGGGTTAGTTCTAGCAGGCGGCCTGATTTTAGAGTTTGGGGTTTCTAGCCCTTGCGCTCGCCCTTGCGCCCCCTTGTGCCATGTTGGTTTTTGGCGCCTGGTTGCACGAAGGCAACGTATGTGTGCTGGCGGCGGGGGTTTAGAACAACGCCCAGTTGCGCATGGCATTTGCACGCGGCTCGTTTGCACTCGGCTGCATGTGGCAGGTAAGCGGCGAGTCGTGGCGACATCGGCTCGTGAGATCTGGAAACATGTGTGGAAACGTTTGAAGCAGCGTGCGAACGCCATGAATCCCTTAACGAATGACAAACTGTGCCCTGTCAACCCTCGGCGTATTTTGGTGTCGAACAGCTAGCTGACCACAAACCCACAAATCCGGCCACCGGTATTCGAAATACCTAGATGACTCTAGATCACAAGAAAGTTTCGGTCAAACTCCAGGCTGGGCTGCTGTTGAAAACGCGCACTGCGCAGAGGTCGTGCTCGCCATGAGTACTGAGGGCGCTTGACCATTCTAAGTCCAAACCGGACTTGTGCGGGCGGGCCTCCTTTTGCGGGGACAGGCTATATAGGACACTAGCCACCGACGGTTGTACCGACCGCATGCTTATGGAAGATGTGCTTCTCCGTGCAGCAGGGGCAACCATCCACACATGTCTCGAGATGTCTTGATCCGTCTGAAATCAAAGCAGAAAAAAACCCTGACAACCCTAGCAACACTGGCCTCGGCGAAGTCTGGAAGGACTTTGGCCCACTCGCACAGATACTCCGTCTTGGCATAGCTTGGGCATGGGTGCCCATAAAATCTCACCTGATGGACTCTGTGCGATGACCTTGTGATGCCCTTGTGATACCCTTGTGATGCCCCCCATGTGATGCTTGCCCTTTCATAGGCTGTCATCTTGTCAGGGTCTGGCCTTTGGTGGAGTGGACACGCACCCCAAGTCACTCTTCATGGCCTGACGCGGCAATCGTAGGGAATCATCCAGCTTTTCCGCGGCTGTTGCTAAACAAAGTCGCGAATAGTACATAATTCACGGCTGGTTAGTTGCTAGATGATGCTAGTTGTTGCTAGCTGCTGCCTTCTGGGCAGCGTAGATGGCAGAAGCCGGCTCCAAGGAAGTGGCCTGAGCGACACGCCCATCCGCAACCCGGAGATCCGGAAGAACTCTGCCAAGACACGCCGTGAATCCCAAAAACCTCAGTTTTCAGTGCTGTCACGTTGGAAGATGCTGAGATATGCTCAGACTGAAGGGACCGATCGGAGTTGGCGGTTGAAGGAAAGGGCCACTTGTTTCTGCCAAGCGTCTTGCTGCTTGGCACGGCTTAGACGTCATAACGTGAGACGAAATGTTGATGGGAGCAGAAGCTGCAGTCTCAAGTGCTCGAACGTTGTTGCCGTTTTATTTCTGTTCGACGTTGGCAAAAGCAACGAACCCTGCTCGCGCCGGAATGTCCATCCTGTTGCTTTAGCGCGACAGTTTGGACACATTGCATCACACCACTTGCCAGCTGACTGTTGCATTTTGTCTTGTTTATTTAGCTTGGGAAGGAGGCTCAGGCGAAACCATGTAAAACCACCAAACTGAGGTCCAGAAGACCGAAATCAAGCCGTTCAAATCACGGGGAACTAAAAATGTTGTGGAGATGGTGTCTGTGGGAGATGCACATGCGAGATGCATAGCACTGGCGAGCATGCAAAGTACCGGAAGCAGCATTCTTCATGCAGGCGCGGAACCGACAGCAAAAACTGTACGATAGCATGACAGAGAGGCCTTCTCTTGCAAGGCTCTTTGGGTAGAATGTTCCTATTTGAACTCATCAGTTCGCTGGATCCTCCAGAGCGAGTGGGCACATACGGCACGAGGCAACCAATCAGAACCCCCCTGGCAGGAAATACTCCCACGAGCACAGGCACTGCGCCCTGCTGAGCTGCAAATCACAGCTTTGCCGGGGTGTCGCCATCTTGGCCACATGATGTGCCTGTGGTACCCACATGTCGCATCGAGTCGCATCGCATCGCGTCGTGTCGCATCATGTCGCCCATTTGCCACCGCACCACAGCCATCCGGCAGGCGATGGAGGCCATGGCAAAGGGAAGAGAGGTGGAAGCTCCCAGCACAAAAATCATGAAAGTGCGAATTTCTTGACCAACGTACCACCCCAGATGAAGCCAACCTCATCTTCGTTTCATGCTCCTTTCTTTTCGGGAGTCTTTTATAGGTACCTCCTCTGGCGTCGACTGCATTGGTTCAGCAAAGGCTCGGCTGGTTGCCTGGAGGTGCACCACGCATTTGCAACTTTATGAACCCTCACCCCAACCCCAACCATTCCTCGCGCGTGCTGTCATGGTGTAAACGAAGCATGCTTATAGGTTCGCGTGTCCCGGGCCATCACTGTTCGACAACTGTGCCTAGAGGCTGCCTCAAGTTACGTGCTGCAACCATGGCAACAAAAGGTGCAGGGCCTGCAAGCACAGTATCAAAAGTCACTGGTCTGTCACACGTGCATAGTCGTAATCAGGAGAAAAGTGCACCGCTGGTAGACAACAAAGCGAGGGGATAAAAGCTGGCAGTATGCCCCCGTGCGCAATAGTATGCAAAGTCCCGATTGATGTGCAACCTTTTAAGCTTCACCAAGAAACAGCCAGGTCAGGGAGCACCAGCGAACAAAGGGACGATTGAAGATCTTGTTCAGGCAATGCCTCGCAATTCATAGTCATCCAGAAAGCGCTTCAAAGCATTCAGTACCAGAGCCTTGGGAGGTCTGCCTGTGCTCAGCAGGCGCATCTGCGAGAATCGCACGAAGCGAGGAGCTTGCTTTGATTTGGCAATGTCCAGGTTCCTTGCATGGGGGCTGCGGAGCTCAAGAAGCTGCCTATCTGACGGTGCAATGGGGACTTGGCATCCAAGCATCAACTCCACGTCAATACTCCGAACCGGCCAGGAAGTCGACTCCATGAAGTCAAAGAGCTGCTCACCACCTCGTGCATCACTTTGCGGACAAACATGCACACGTGCCTTCACTTCACTCTTCACCTTCTGTTGCCCCCAGGAGCCACAAGATCAACTCGAGATGGCGGTGCGCATCCTCAGCCATAGTGGGTAACTGCTGAACGTGGCTGAACATGCGAAGTCACAAGCGCATCGTAGCCGGGACCATTGCAATACATGCAGATGACAACGAAATCTCATGAGGCTCACATGACGCTGTTGCTTGCGACTTGATCGCGTGCCATGCAACCTCTTTCTGTGGAACAGCATGTCGATATGCGATGAAGAGCGCAGTGACCAAACCGTAAAGGCCTTGCTCTTGGTGGGACAACGCCAAAAGCTCAAAGGTCTCAACTTCGCGGCTTCACCCGAGCGGCATATGTGACCTCTGGCAGCTCCGCGCTGGCTTCGGATTAGCCAGCCATCACCACCATCACCGACGCCTGAAGTCATCACCTGCAAGTACATCAGCGCATACGAAAGAGCAAATGATGAACAAACAATTTAAGCCTGCAGATCAGGAGGCAGCAAGGGGGCTTCATCATGGCTATCAGCAGTGCGAAATGACCTCAATGGCCCCAATGGCCCCCCTGCATGCTTAAATGTGCTGCACAGAGTCAAAATCCAAGCGGCTCCCAAACAGCTCCAGCTGGATGAATCCAGGACCGTCCCGTGCTCACATCATCGAAGCGCTCCTTCCGTGTCAAAGAAACGGAAACCAAACGAAGCCGAAGCCAAACCTTCCCCAAAGCTCCAGCAGCTCGGCTGCTGCTAGCGCCAGCCCAGGGTCCAGAGGCCTGCGTCACCTACGTTTGACTTACGCCCCAAGCTAGGAAAAGCTGCATCCGAAAGGATCCGAGGAAAAGAGCTTGGTTGTTGGCCAGCCGTTTTGAGCACTGGTTATGGCTCGCCTGTCAGACACAACAAACACACGCTTCAGTGCTTTGTAACCCAACGAGGATCGACAGTCGCAAGAACTGAATTTGAACAATGGTTGTTCATGCCAGCAAACAACTGTCTTGCCTTCGGAACCCCGTCCATTCTGAACTGAATCCTGCAGCCTGGCATCGGAGCCCATGCGTCTCTCTGTTCACAGAAGAGCTCCATGTGGCAAATGTGGCAACCTCTGAGCATTCCAAGAAGGCGGGAGTTGCCAGCCTGGAACTGACAAGGAAAGACAAAGAAAGATGTCCTATGGTGGACCCATTCTAGCTGCCGCTGCCTTAAACCAAAGGCTTCCACAGCTTGCCACGCTCCGGCAATGGTGCTGAATGCTTTGCCCATTCCATGCAACTGCTGATTCCATATGCCATCGCCCAGCACAGTGACGTCGTCTTAATCACGTCTATCGCAACGTCAACGCCTAAGAAGCCTGTATGCCGCATCATGCTTGCACATGTCTATGCTCCATGCAAAAGAAAAGATGCTTTGAGAGGTCACAAAGTTCGCTGCACAAGCTCGTGGGACGAGAAGCAGCTATAAATGGTCCTCTACGAGCACACAAACCACCTGTCAACCATTTTTGATCCGAAAGCGTGCCATCACAGATCTCGGTCCCATCTTTCCATTTCCTGCCGTGTCAAGGACAAAAACGCACCCCGAATTTGCGGCATTGATCACTGAAGCTCTCGATGGAAAGTGCCTCTTGGGACGTACCAGGAGGATGAATGCCTTTGGTGCGGCACGACTCTGGAATCAGCAGCGGGTTCATGCCTCGGCTTGGCACTGGAGTCGCCCTGAAACTCCATTGCACAATTATGCAGTCTTTCTTAAATATGTCATGCCGTCTAGCTCATGAGCAGCAGCAGCAGCAGCAGCAGCAGCAGCAGCAGCAGCAGCCGAATGAACGTGCACGACCAAAACGTGCGTGCCATTCAAGCTGCGCATCTACCCAGGCGCTTTGGGCTTCCAAGCACGCAACAACGAAACCAAGCCACAAGACACAGAAAAAGATGCCCGTTTATGTTTATTTGCTCAAGTGCAGTCTCCGAAGATGCTCAATGCTCAACTTAGCGACATGACATGAGCCGACAGGCGCTGGCAACAATAGCAAGAGTAGATAAGTCATCATCCGCCATGTTACCGAACAATGCATCAAGAATGCAAATAGAACAGCTGAGCTGAGCTGCGCACATGCATTCCATAGAACCTCCGACGGCGCATCCTAGCAAGCAGCCACGGAAAACAGAGGATTTCAACTTCTTGTCAAAGCTCAAACTGTCGTAAGCTTCGTACTATGTCCACGTCCAGGCAAAGGCCCGTAGTAAAGCAAAACACCTCAGGGTTGGGATTTTCAGACACGTCGAGGCAGCACCGGGGGAAGCGCCTGTCGGTTTGATGTACAAGACTTGCACAAATCCCAAAACTCCTGCACTGATGGAGCTGCGTTGGCAACAGCCAAACAAGGTTCTGTCCTGGGTCTCACCATCCCATAAAGATTCCGTGGCAACTTGAACGACCTGCGCTTACTGAGGCGCAACATGCCCAACAAAAGGCAAAATCGTCTTTCAAGGGGCCTGCATCAAAACCATGGGCCAAACCAAGGTCGAATATCGCAGCATACAAGGCATGTTGGAACATCAACCAGAACGTCACTTTGCTCATTTTGCGCTTACCGGATTGCAATAGCTGACAAAGAATGCAAGCTAACAACCCAACCACGTTTGTACCAATATACTAAAAACTTGTCACATGACCGAAAAAAGTTTACCAACATTCGGCACAGTCATGCTTGACACAAACCACGACGCACACCAAATATCGCACACATGCTTTGGGCAAAACGTCTCCTCATGCATGGAAGACAAGCCGTTGTACGCGAAGAAGGCTGGTTGGGAGGTTGTTCCTGCACTATCCCAGAATTCGGCTGGTTTGGCAACACCTCCTTGCTAATTTGAAGCATGAACCGCATACGAAGGTAAATAGAACTACTTGTTTCTAAAAGTGAATCCGCAAACACAGAACATAACGGGATGCGATAACGTACGTAGGGCGATTTCGCATATAATCCGAGGGTCTGATTTAAAACGCACGGGAATTCACGAAAAAACAATCATTGGCTCCAACCCATCCGGAAGGTCACATTCCATTACAGGGGCCAATAAACGGTGTTTACGAAGTTTGTTCGTAACAACAGACTGCAAAGCTGCAAGCAACGGTGCAGAAATGTGTGGTTACAGTCTCGGCTGAGCCGCTTCTCTGCGAAGTCGGATTTCAGCACTGTGACGCTGAGATCTTTTCAGTGCTTCTGTGGGCTGCGCAGCCCAGTTCTGCAAAACACCAAATGAACCCGTAACCCTGATTATTTACCTCACGAGTTAGATCACTGACTTGTGTCCAGATACAGGCAGGAGGGAAACCGACTCGAAGGCCAGCGAAAGATGGTTCGAGTGAGTCGAGTGGACCCGCCGTTGCCAGGCATGTCTGGAAGGTGAAGTCAAAAGGTGGACTTGAGCCGACATGTCCAGGAAAGAAATGACGCGACATGTCGAAGTAATCGAAGTGCGCTATCGAAGTGCGCTTGGCCCAGAGTGACAGCGGCGGCAAGTACGAGATGAAGGACATTGAGCCTGCCGGCTTACGAGGAGGCGATTCTCGCTATATCTGCAGAATGGTCCAGCAGGATCAGCAACAACCATCGAAGAGTGAAATGACAATACATTTTTGCAAAATCACAAAGCCAAGTGGCATCTGAATGTGGAGCTTGGCTGATTTGGCACATTGCCATTTGCGTGAGGCAAGGCTGGGATTCATAGTTTTGTCTTGACATTTTGGCTGGGTTTGTTTGTGGTAGTGTGGAGGACCGAAGAGACCTCCCAGACCTCCCAGTGCGCTTCTTTTTGGGTTGACTTCGGGTTCTACCTTGTCTGGTCAAACATGGGTTGCTATCGGTCTCGCTGCGTGCATAAACATGTTGTCAATGGCCGTCGACATGTCACGCACCTTCCCATCCCATCGGGAACATTTTTTGTCTTTTGACTTCCTAGCTGCCATGTGAGCCATCAAGCCTAGGAGTCGCCGTATCATTATCTAGCCAGGGTCTGCAGGTCTGCCTTTGATTTGCTGCTGTTCCACTTCAGGTGGCTTCTCTCCATCAGGAAAAATTGGAGGGATATGGCATTTTGATTCGATTGGATCTGAAAAAGGGTCTCTTTGATTCGAAACTTCTTGCAGCCTGCAGCAAGACACCCCTCGCAAGCGCACCATATGCCTTGGAGTGACCCCTGTCACAATAAGCGGTTGCACTGAGGAGAAGGAACACATTTGCCGCGCTTGCCAACGCGAAGTGAGCCCCCCACTGTGCTGTGACGTGCTGTGTGTGTGCGTGAGACTCAGTGAGTACGTGAATGGTGCGTGTGAATGGTGTGTGTGAATGGTGCATGAGTGATGATGAGGCGAGTCCCCTCGCGCGCGCGCGGAAGGAGGCGGAGGAGGAGAAGGAGAATGGGCCCCCCCCCCTTTGGACAAAGGGGGGCTTAAGCCCCCCTTTAAGCCCCCCTTAAAGCCCCCCTTAAAGCCCCCCTTAAGCCCCCCTTCAAAGGGGTCCCTTCAAAGGGGGTCCCTTCGGGGGGGGGGGGGGGGCAAAGGGTCAAAGCCCTTGAGCCCCCCCTTAATGAAATTTTACAAAAGCGAAATGCACAATCTAAGTACATGTTCAAACGTTGGTCTCCATCACTCAACACACACAGCAAAGATTCACAGCAAGTGCAATCACTCAACAATCACTTTGTCTCATGAGTCTTGAGCCAATCATTGTTGGCACCTTGAGCCAATCAAGTCAAGAGTGACACAATGTCATCTGTCAATGTCACACAAGCAATGTGACCGGGCCAACTGGTGGCCTGGAAGCAATGCTCTACTCTAACACGGCCCCTTGGACGAGACTTCAGTCAATCGTCCAAATCTTGCTTCCACTTCGGCAATGAACAAAACAAAGCACAAACTACGGAACTTGAATGGCGACTCAGAGGGCTCACTTTTGCAATGCCAATCTGCAAAACAACCCAAGCTGTCATCAACTCTTGTACACAATCCAGCAGGTCAAAAGTAACAGAAGTCAATGCAGTCTGAAAAGCATATGCAAAGAACCATTGTGGAAACACCGTCAAATGCATCCAATACACCTGAAGAAATGGTTCACAACGCAGGTCAAAATCATCCGGCATCAATGTTTGCAGAATGTCCATCTGAAAATGCAATTGCAATCAAAATCGCAAGCACTGACAGTCACAAGCCATAATCACCACATCTGCAACCCATACCATGCCAGGAATGTTCATTACACAATGTCCTCGCGAACAATGGTCCTGAGCAAAATGGGCGGACATCCAGAAGCTCGAAAACAGTCCAGAAGTGGCACTCAATTGCACAGAGTTGTTCTCAATCTGTTTGTACTGTAAGCCATACGAAAAAAATACCATCAAACCAACCATGAAATCACAGGCGCTGAGAAATACACATGACGATACCAATTGTACACTGTACGCACCAATGCACTGCACTTTGACGCTCCGAATCAGTATCGGTGACATTCAACTTTGTTTCCTTGCTTCACTTCAATCTTCGTTCCATCCGGCAAGGCAATCACAACAGTTGGTTTGCTGTCCGTGTCTTCGCGAGAAGACAATGTTTTGTGTGGTCTTGACCTTTTCCGCAAGAGGCTAATCAATCTCTTCCATCTTGTTGTGAATGACGTACAGTAGAGTCCGGGTAGCACTTCGCAAGGGACGCGGAATTACCAGGCTCATTCGCTCTTGTTTCTGCCGCGTACTGCAAAGAAGGTTCATCGAGGTAGCCTGCACAGGCAGCTCGCTGTACAAACGAAAGGCCAAAGGCCTCAAGAGAACCAGAAGCAACCCTGACCACCGGGCGGGACAGGGAGGGAGCTTGAGCATTCGGCAACACAAATGTTCTTCGCCTATAGTGGCAGGCTCATTCGCTCTTGTTTCTGCCGCGTACTGCAAAGAAGGTTCATCGAGGTAGCCTGCACAGGCAGCTCGCTGTACAAACGAAAGGCCAAAGGCCTCAAGAGAACCACACCATCCAAGCAGAGCCTTATAAACCAGAATGCAGCAGAACATCCAGGTGGAGCCAAAGCTCGTCTAGGGTTGCTTCTGAAGAAGAATGCGCCAAGCTTTCTCAGGAATACCCGAACGGTAAAAGAAAGAGACTCGTTGAAGGATAGCAGAAAACTGATCACCAAGCTCCTCTATCAGAGCACGTTGAGATGGCTGCAACGATGGGATAAAAGAGATTGACAGCACTTCTTGCAAGTAGATATCCATGACCCTGGCAGACAACCATCTGCCCCTTCGCCTGACCATGTCGGCATTTTCAGTAGTATGAAGCATCCAAGTTGCACCACCTGGCCTGAAGGAGGCCAAGTCAAAGCATGGCTTGCCCCTTTCCAAAAGTTGCAAACGCTCCAAGATGGCGTTGAGTCTCTTACGCAGCGTACCAGACGACATGTTCCAAAGCGGTGTAGATGGTGACTGGCATCCAAAAGCAAGATCCAAGAGAGCAACCAAGTCTACAGGATCGACACGAGCAGCTTGATGCCTGGCTGAGCGCCCACGTGTTTTAGGGTTCATGATCTGTAGCAAAGCAAACCCAGTGCCAGGAGCAGCATCTCTAGGGAGAACAAGGTTCTTCCTAACTGCTTGAAGAATCTCACCAATACGAAGTAGCCCAGCCCAAGCCAATGCGAATATGGCAGCCTCGCGAAGCCATCCCCAAATCAGCGAGACACTCAGCACAGCCAAAAGGATGCCTTTGGGCATGGCTCGGTGATGCGTCGGGGGCTCCTCGGCCAGCCAAGCAAAGGCCAAGTCCCAGGCGTGACCAAGTGAGCGTCTGATAGCCGGCCGCAATGCCCCAATGGCGTGGACAGTCTCAGAATATTTCCCATACGGGTGCCCAGCCTTGAAAAGCTGCTTCCATAAGCAACCAGAAGCTCAGAGATTTGCTCGACATCAGCACCCGACAGCAAATTGGTTAAAGTAAGTTCAGTTTGCCCGACTAACCAGCTCTCAAAAGCCTGCACCAACTTCAATCTGTTGCTTCGGGTTGAAGGTTGAATGACTCGGTCAGCGATCAAAACAACAGATTCCCGCACAGAGGCTCTCTTGAAGTCAGCAGGCGTCACCGGTACAGGAGTCCCAGGCGCGGGGGAGGCCATGGCAGCATCACAAAGGACTACAACCCTGAACAGGCCCTGAAATGAGAAAGAAGACGAGGAGGCAAAGTGAAGAGGGAAGAGGAAGCAAGGCGCGACAAGAGGAAAAGAAAGCGAAGGCTCCGAAAGCGAAAACCAGGAGCCGAAAGTGGAGAAAACACCGACGATTGAGGCCCAGCACAAAAGAGAAGGCCAAACAACACGTCTGAGAGGTCCCTCGCCAGGAAAGCCGAGGGAGGCATCGAACTCAACGAGCTTGCAGCCATCAGATGACCTGAAGTCAGACTGCTTCCCCTGAAAGAAAGAGCAAGAGCCCTGACGTGTCAAGACGACAAGTAAGCTCAATCTCGCCCAGGAAGCAAGTGGTCGCCTCAAACGGAAAGAGCCCAGCCAGTGCACAACTTCGAGGGGCAAAAGGGCGCAAAGGGACTGACCTGCGCCTCTCCTGAGGTCAACACGCCTGGTCGGATCGTCCGCGATATTGAGGCGCGTGGGCGCGAAACCATATGACCAATACAGTCCGAAAGCGAGCTGGAGAGCTGCGATTCTCCACAAGCCAGGCTTCAATGCATACGAAGTGGAGCGGCCCTTTGCAGCAGAGGATTTTGCAACCTGACTGTCAACCAAGACAGTCAAGCGGGAGTCTGGCATAGAAATGGCGGCGTCACGGTTCAGAATGCACAACACAGCAAGTTCAAGGGCATTTATGTGGCATTTGTTTTTCCAAGGGACGACCTTGTCGACTTGCCAATTGGCAGAGAGGAGCACATGGTTTACCACCACGGATTCGATCCCAGGTTTTTCGGGAGGCAGAGCAGATGCGCATAGGCTGTCACGAAAGGTCCGAGCAATCTCCATGGCCAAACCTTCACAGTAGACAGCAGAACTCTTGGCGTGTTTCCCCTGCACCGGGGCGTGCGAGTGATCGCCGGAGCACTGTCTGCAAAGCCTGTGAGGGGAAACCCTGAAACCTAAAAACCGGAACTCCTTCTTAAGAGGCGACCCAAACATGCAGCTAGCAAGGTGCCACTCTATGACGCCAGGTAGGCTGGCAATGAAACGCCACCAACTTGTCCAGCACATCTTTGAGCCCCTGGGCTGCTCAAAAATCGCAGGCACCTGAAGCCGCACAGCGAACCAGAAGAAGACCAAGCAACGTTGAGCGAGGCGGTTTCCAATCTTGACCTTGGGCTCCGACCTGTCAAAACCCTTTGGCTCGACATAGGACCTGAGCTGTGGGCGCCTGGCAGGAGAGAAAGTATCGCAAGGAGGAGAGATCAACAAAGACCTGGCCCTGCCCGAACGCAACATCTCATAGAGCCAAATGGCAAAGGAAGGATGCAAGACATCAAAGTGAGGCGAGGTCCCCAAGTCGATTGGAACGCAGGTCGCAAGTCCAAGCTGAGAGGCGGCCTTTGATACAGCTCCAGAGCCACCGCAGATCTCAAGCACATCAAGAATGAAAGGGATGGTCTTTGTGAGCCGAGGGAACCTTGAGTGTTCGAACAAAGGCCAGCTTTCAACATCCTCATCTTCGATCTGCTCACCAGCAGCTTTTAGCAAAGCAGCAGCCCCAACATTCAACTCAGAGTATGCGCCTTTTCTATCGCCATTTAGCCAAAGGGATCGAGCCAAGCCCTGCTGAACTTCCGCCGACACAATCGCTCCTAAGCCCAGGGAGGCATCTGTGGCATAGATCCGACTCTGAGTGGTAGCTGTCAAACTCGAAGCCATCAAAGGCGCAAGGACAGCCGCGAGGCAGAGCTCTTGTGCGACACGACGCGGGAGATGCACACTTTTCTCCTTGCCCCCTTCTCTACTCGCAGCTTTGGCACTGATGCTAAAGACCTCGCTGAAGATTACCATGGTGCAGCGCCTAAACATAGCAGCCGAAACCCAAGCACCAACGAGCTTCGCGACCAAGGTAGGCGTGGTGCAAGGCAAGGAGGCGGCGCGAAGGCTCAAGAGGCTCAGACTGACACGTCTGGCCAAAGGGGCAGCAGCCGTAGCGAGGCCTCTGCGGACAATTTCTTCACGGCTGTCTAACTCCGCACCTATTGCCTGAAAAAGGGCCTCACCTTCAATGTCTTTTTCCGGCGATCCTAGGAGGTGACCTTCATCATAAGCAGTCTTAGCAACCTCGTACAAGCGACTGGCAAGGGATGCTGATGGTCCAGTGCCATCAAGGCTCGCAGCACCTACCGTGACAAAGTCGTCTATGAAAAGAGCCTCCCATGTATGGGCAAGAAGCAGAGGATGATGATTTCTCAGCCACAAATCTTCTTTGAGCGCACCAGAACTGACAAGGAATTGGCTGTGGGACTCCAAAGCATATTCGACCCCAAGATGGTCGCCTTGAAACAAAGAAGCAAACCCCGGAGTGAAGGAAGAGGCAGCAAGAATGGTCCGTGGGTGGAATGTTTGGTCGCACAAGCCTCCCAAACCCTCACCTGCAGCCTGTCTACGCTTATTGCCAAGACTCAGGTTGTCAGCTGCGGATGTGAGAAGAGAGGCAAGAGCTCCAGTGCCAGCGAGCTCCTCTCGGGAGAAGTCAAAACACAAGGAGTTTGACTGCGCTCTCTGCGCCGTAACCTGCGCTTGGTGATAGAAATCTTTGCGATCTGACACGAAGCCAATGACTTTCTGTTTGAAACGCTTGAGGCTGAAAGCAGCGAAGAGGGACCCAGTCGGCAAGTCAGCTGACGGTCCAGCTATGTGCATTTCGCCGCCATTTACCAGCCGTCTGTCACCAATTTGCCTGTCAACTGTTTTGCTTGTAACAGTTAAAGACTTTACAACGCAGGTTGGGGTCAGGTGGGCCCGGCGTCAAAGACAACAGGGACTTCGCATCCCATAATTTCACCAATTCCAAGTTTGTGCTTCTATCTTCCTGCTGGAAGTTGGGGCACAGCTCTTGAGGGACAGGGACACCGTGTCTCAAAATGGCTGGTTCACGAAACGGCAACCACAGTGGGCCCTCAAGCCACTCTCCCATGTTCCAGGACCCCGTCCCAGAGAGCTTCAAACGATCTGGGCACAAGGAACGATACGGCTGCAGCTGAGGGAGCTCAGCACTCGGGGGGATTTTTGGCACAGACTGTCGAGACACATGGGAGCCTGCGAAATGTTCGAGCTCGACAAGATGGGCCAGAAGAAGAGGTCCGGAGCGACCAGGACGGCTGGCTCTCACACGCAAACAAGAAGTTCCTAAGTCTGTCATAGACTTGGCGCTGGTGGCTGTTCGGAACTCTCCACAGCAGGTATTCAGGAGGTCGTTTGAGCCCCTCACGCACGTAGTTCAAGGCAAGCACCAAAATGTGCAACATTCGCCGACGCACGAGGGATCTCCACTTCCTCAAAGGAAGCCGTGGGCCGCTGGCTGCGAAAAGATTAAGCTCTGGCAGCGGGAGCGGAAAAGTTGCGGAAGGGGGGGCATTGCCGTCCCTGCAGGCAGAATTTTTGAAAGAGGCTCCTAGGTAAGCCCCAAAAGGCGTCCGGGATTGTAGGAGCAACCGAGGCAACGCAGCGGCGTACTCCCTAAAGGACAAAGTTGCATCGAATTCATGCTTCACGCTGGAAGTGGCAGGGACATCAGGCGAGCCTTTCAAACCTTTAAAAAAGGCGCCAGGGAAGTCTCTGTCTTTTCTTACAGGATTGGGCTTTTCCCCAAAGACACCACCAGAAGGAGCCGCTTTGGAGGCACATGCGTCACTTGCTTGACCAGAGTCTGATCCTACAGGGCTGGAGGAGCCGAGTCGGAAAACCACCGACCTACCCTACGACTAACCGAACCGATTCGGGGGACAAATGCTCAGCTGACGGGTCTGAGCTGCGACTGGGAGGACAACCACAAGTAGCACCACCTACACCCTGAACAGTGGCCTGATGCTCAGCTGACGGATCAGAACTGCGACTGCTACCCAGACCCAAAGCGGTGGACAGATGCTCAGCTGACATGTCTGAGCTGCGACTGAGTAAGGAAACACCAGTGGCTCCGCCAAGGCGCAGAAAGGAGGACAGATGCTCAGCTGACGGGTCTGAGCTGCGACTGGGATGACGACTAGAGGCACTATCTAAACCCGAAGTGCAGGACAGATGCTCAGCTGACAGGTCTGAGCTGCAATTGGGTTCGCAGACCCCATAACCATCGATGGAACCAAGGGTGGGAGGCAAGCGTTTGGCAGACAACGATGAGACGCGGGCAGGCGGGCAACCACCACTAGCACCACTAGACCCCAACAGGGAGGACAGGTGCTCAGCTGGCAGGTCTGAGCTGCGACTGGGAGGACAACCCCTAGCAGCAACCCTACACCCCGTCTTACACCCGAAACTAGTTTCCCCGAGCAGCGATGAGGCGCGGTCAGGCGGGCAACTACCACTAGGACCACTAGAACCCAACAGGGTGGACAGGTGCTCAGTTGGCAGGTCTGAGCTGCGACTGGGAGGACAACCCCTAGCAGCAGCCCTGAACCGCGTTGTACACCCGAAACTAGTTTCCCCAAGCTTAGCTCTAGATCCCCCCAACCAAACCCGCCTCAGGCTTGCGGTTTCTTCTTTGGCTGTCGCTTTGGCGGCCGCCTTTGTGAGGCCTCGGATTCTTGCGAGTCGTGGCTCCCGGAACCCTGGGCTTGGTGTTTCCCACCTTTGACTAAATCGGCACGCTTCACTTGAATGGCATCCAGCTCTTTCAAGGCGCCTAGCACCACCGTTACCCACCGCTGGGCTGCTAAGGGCGCGAACGCCCGCGCAAGCATGCTGCTCTGAGGCCTGGCAGTGAACATGGCAGCAGGTGGCTCCTCCAGCAACGTGAGCTGGAAAGCCAGGTCCATCCGCCCTGAGTCCATAACTGCCTGTTCCAATGCCACTGCCATAAGCGCCATGTGATCTTGAGCCAATTCCACGCGCCCTGCTTGCATGGCGTCTAGCGCGTGAGCCAGCTGATGCGCCAAGAGTGCAAGATCCCTTTGAGATCCAAAACCTCCGAAGCGTTCCCAGTACTTGCTGAGACAAACGTCTTGGTGAAGCAAAGCGGCAGGGTCGGACTCTGGAGTCACAGCTGGATTCATTCTCCGTGCCATGTTTTGGAGGACAGTCCTGAAGAAAACCCCTCGACCTGAGGCCAACTCCTCCTGGAGCTTTGCCCTCTGAGCAGCCCTTCTGGTGGATACTGAACTGGTCGCATTGTCTAGCAAAGGATCGCCTCCCTGCGCCAGCTGAGCAACCAGCATGGTTAGGGCCTGACTCTGGGCCAGGACAGCCTTTGCTTAGGGCACTCTCGCCTGAGACTCCTTGAACCACTTCCTCCTCCACACTGCCCTGAAACTCCAAAACCTCCTGCTCTGCCATGCTGACTCGGTGCAAAGGAGAGACGGCAGTGTGGCAGTCCTCGGAAACGGCCCCAACACAGCAGCAAGATTGGAGAGCTTCGCACCCTCCTTTGGCTTTGGCCCCAGCGGCAGGGCCAAGGTTGCAGCGGCCCCTCCCGCCAATCGAGCTTCGTAGCTTTCTTGCCGGGCACTCAGGTCTTCCAGTCTTGCAGTGAGAGCTGGGAGGGTCTGGGCAGTTGTCTCGAGCTGAGCGGCCAAGTTTGCCGTCGTTGGCCTCTTGGCTTTGGCTGGAGGCGAGGCGTTTGCGGCGGCGGCGGTACCACCACGAGGAGTGCCCAAAGTGGCCTTTGGAGTCGCGCCCAGGCCTGAAGGACGAGAAAGCCTGAGCACTGGCCTGGTAGGAGACGTCAAGGTTGGGACCTCCCCTTCTTCGGCCGAGTAGAAGGCCAGACGATCTCCATCGACCAAGGTGCCGCGCGCCCATGCCTGCGCACTCTCCAGCAAACTGACAGGGTCGGGGAAGATATCTGGAGTAGAGGGGTCGAAAAGGCTGAGCAACTCGGGCTCCTCGCCTGCAACCAAAGGGAACAGGCGAAACACAGCATCTCTGCCCAAGTCCACGAGGGTCACAGTTAGACTCGCACCATCCTGCACTTCTGCTGATCCCCCAACAAAACAAGCTCGGGGCGCTTCCACTTGAGTGTTGGGACCGACCTGGCCCTCCATGCCGACATCCATGCCAGCCAAAAGTTCGTCGTCTGGGATAACCCCCGGCGGCAGTGCAATGAGACAACCATGATCCCGCTTCATCAAGATTACGGCCAGAGCTTCCACGACGCCATGGGCCACTGGGTGCTCGTACACATACAACTGGGCGAGCTGAGAAAAAGGATGAAGGTCTTCCATATTCACTGATTGTCAGGCCAGGAGACGCCTGCAGCCTGGAAGTATGCACGTGCCTCAATTTCGGATGGAAAGCCGTGCGACACAATGTCGCTTGATTCCAAGGGCCCCACAACTTGCTTGAACTCACGGAAAGTCTTGAAGACAGATGGGGCCAGATTGCCACCCCCAAGCACAGCGTAAACACGGCTTGGGAGGGATAGAATCGGCGACGGCAGCGGTGTTCCGACGTGGCCGGTCAGCACAGCACGAGCCCAGCAGCCAGCCTGCCAAGCCCGTCTTACACGATCCTCACCACTTAAATTCGCGCTGCCAAGCTGACTGGCCGACCTCAGAACTGCTTGCGGGCAAACAGGGAATGTAGCAGCAACCTCGGACCTTGTAGGCGAGAGGCTCAGGGGCTCAAGAGCCGGCAAGGGATCCTGAACGGCAGGGCCCGATGAAGAACGAAGAGCAGTATGCGGTGAGCTAGCTGCAGCAGACAAGGAAGAGGTGGCAGTGTTTTGCGGGTAAGGGACTGCAGGAAAGTCCTCAAGGTAGGACAGAAGGGCTGAGGCTTCGCGGAGGGGGCCCTCAACCGTTACCGACAAACCCGTAATATTAGTCACCAAACTAACCGAACCTGGGCTCCCCGGCTTGCGCACGCACGTAGGCCTGGAGCCTTTGCAGCCCGAGGCTGCGTGGCAGGGGTACCAGCCGGGTACCAGGCGGAGGCGAGCCGCCAGCAGACGACACAAACAAGTGCAATGCCACACAGGAGGCCAAGGAGGAATGAAAGAAAGAGGGCCGGCAGTGAGGAAGGAGCACAGTAGAAAGGGCAACCCAACCCGTAAAAGTTAGTCTCAACAAGATCCTTCCAAACCCTCACGGCCTGAAACCACCACATGAAGCTTGAGCATTCGGCAACACAAATGTTCTTCGCCTATAGTGGCAATCAACGATGCACAGCCAGAGGACAGTCATAGCACTTCGACGCCAATGTCCAAGCCAAATCTTCACGAGTCATGTTCATCCTAAACAATGCTGCTCGGGAAATTTGAGCTACGCTCAATGTCATTCTCCACGATGACTTGAACACTTCCAAGTCGAGTTCAATGTTGAGGCTCTAGGCTGATAAACCAGGACTCCAATCTTTTCACACAGAATTGACAAAAGATAGACTTGACGAATCCAATGGCAAAGCTTGCTCAACGCAGCTTCCACAATCAACCGGCAATTCACCTGTACCCTGTGGCCCTGTGAGTTCCACTGCTTCTCCGGCAATCACAGCAGCGAGCATGCTGATGGGTAACGCCAAATGAACAGAAAGACTTCGCCAATGTTGTCTCGTCGTCAATGATAGTCGGTTTGTGGAACAATGACACATGTCCCGAATTCCATGCTGTCAATCTGTCAATCTGAAGAACGGACACAATGACCAACCAGTAGCAAAGGAAGAGGCATCCATTTTCGCAAAGTTCGTGGCATCGTTCAATGTTGCAATCGGCAAGTTGGTTTGTGAGCAATTCCCACATGAGTGCGCACCTGCCAATCCAGCAAAGCCTAACGCATATCGTGAAACAATGCTTCCAAATCCTGCAACAACGCTGAAAACGATCGCCAATCGTCCAGTCGCACGATGTGGTCAAGGCCTTCTCTTCCAATCCAAACCAGAACAATCTCATGCTCAGTTGGAAACGCGCTCACAATGACAGCAGCGACGCTACCAAGCTCAATCGGCGTGGTCCATGTCAGCAACGCAGGCGCAGGGATTTCACGCTCATCTCTCTCACTTGCAGAGACTGCAGAGAGTCAGCACTCACGCGGGCCGCGTCGGCCATATCTCATCATGGGCCGTTTCAATCGGTCCCTCAGTCTGTGTCTCGTTCATTTGCAGCAGCCATGCTTCAATGGCTACAACAAAAAAACTACAAGCGCAAGGGCAATTGCTACGACTGCTTTGTGTTTGCACTGAAGCAAAAGACAAACAAAACGCGAAAACTTGATCGAGACCAATCGCACCAGGTTTCTACACACGCGGTGCAATCAAAATTTTCGAACACATAGCGAAGCAGTTTACGCTACGGTCTAAAGTCTAAGGTGCAATTTCTGTACAACGCTTCGTGGGACAAGTCAGCAGTTACTGGCCAATTTGTTTTGTGAGCTCAAGAGGCTCAATCGGCCAAGGCGACGCGAAGCGGGCAATATAAACAGGTATAAACATCAAAACACTACGCACTGCAATCTCTCAATTCAGCAAAGGAAGGCACGCACAGTCTTCAGTCTTCAGCTGACATCAATGCACTGAAACACATCATGTCTTGGACATGGGAACATGAGAACAAAGGTCGTGGTTAAAGGGCTTTGGTTGAAACAATGTTTCTTTGGGTCTTGCGCTCTTCTCGAGCTATTTCAACGCAAGGGAAAGTGAGACAACATCCAGTACAACAGTCACAATCGAGAAGACGGTTCATGGATCGCTTGAGATCAGGCGCCAATGACCTCAGTGTTGAACGCACACCAATCTCTGGCGTACATGCGCATCTGATGCTCTTCAAATCTTACTCCACAGTTGTTTTGTTCGTTCGCCTGAAATCATGCGTCAATGCAAGCACGAAGCATTCGGCACACAACGCGGTGATCTGCAGGAACCTTGGTCTTAAGGTCTTATGACAATCAACGCACCTCTTTCGAGATATGTATGTCACCGTTTGTTGGTCTGCAGAGAGGGCAATGCTCTGGGCCTGCACGTTCACGTTGGCCAAGCCTTGCATTTCTTGAGCTCTCAGGCTCTTACAAGCAAACAGTCTAAAGGCAACAAACGGCAAACTCTAGGCAAGCACAGCGCCAACGGTCCTCACTAGTCACCAGTAAGAGGGCAGGGCGCCACTCACACGTCGACATGTCTCACTGTTGACGTTCCCGACTCAAACTTCGCCAATCGACAGCGTTCAATGTCTATAGGAGAGAAAGGTGAGATATCAACCAATCGCAAACTGCTGTTGCGTGTGACATGCTCAATGCTGGCACACTTCCTGAGCACTCCATTGACTCGATGTCTTTAGCAAAGTGAGACGCATAGCACATCGGCAAAAGGGTCAGTTCCCCACGTCGACCTTCTCAATGAGGACGAAATTAAAGAACACACTCTCCGCATAGTCTTCAGCTTCAACCAGCAGGATAGTGTTTGGCTTAGCGCACCAGCAGAAGACTCAATTCCATTTGTCTTCACAGGTAGCTCAGTTTGACAATGCCTCAGCAACTTGTCATGGCAAGCCATCATCGGCGCCTCACAGGACGGTGCTTGCTTTTATTCAATTTCTGCGACTAGGGAGAACATGGCCGTGAGGCTCCAGTCATGGCGTTGAGAGACAATCAGGTCACAAGCAGCACGCTCGTAGCTTCAGGAAAGCAGCAGTACTAAAGAATGACGAATGCTCCGTTGCAATAAGCCAGTGAAGCTTCCACGCACAAGGTGATGAAGAAGTCTTTCGGAATCTGGCTCAATACGTCATGTTTCCCAAGTTCAGCAATCAGAACACAATAAGCCAAATAAGCACAAGTGCCTGCGTGATTCAAGCAAGCGAAAACTGTCATCTGTGACATGGACAAGAAGACACCAAGCAAGCTCAAGAATCAACCAGGGCATTGACACACTAAAGTCACGCGCAAGCACAACGTCCACTGCTGCAGCCAATGCACCTTGACACTCATGCTTCAAGGCACGTTTCCTGGGAAAGCGCGACGATATTTACTGCAACGAAAAGCACCGGCCAGTAGCAAGCGACTCAAAACAAATACACACACAAACAAGCCAATTGTCACCTGCGAGTTTGACGCAAACGGCAAGCTGACTCAGTTCAACGAGACCGTCACGAAGATACCAAACGAGCAACGCGACCGATTCTGGGTCACATCAAGAAACCGTTCAAAGCTTCATAATGTAAATACAAACGCATAGGCAACTGTCCTGCAAGCCACGAAGTAACCAAGGAATGGAGCACGAAACTGTTCAATGGCGACGCAGAGTAAGCAACCAACGACATCTTCAACGACGACACCACCAACGAGCAACAGTACTTCATGTCATACTTCCTATCTGATATCCAAGACGACAAGCTCAAGCAGCAATCAATGTTTCTTGCCTCCACATACACTCTCGGTCCCTCGGCCAAGGCAAAGCCGCAGGCCGCACAATCGCTCGGGAGGGATGGTGGGGGAAAAAAACAACCAACAGGCGCAACAAAACAATTCACACTTTCATCAGACTCAAAGCTTAAAACACAAACTGCCCAACAATTTCACGTCCAGTTGACACTGGGGCCAGTAATCACTTGGCACTGGGCAGTTGGAAATAGGAAAGTGCTTCCAAACGGAAGACTTGGTTGCGTTCCGCAGAAAGAAACGATATGACAAGCTCTCTGCAACTAAGATCACACGTCCATCAACAATCACATCACACAAGCGGACGAGTCTGGCTCATGTGAAGAGAGGAACAGGCTCCTCTCCTGATCTTGTTCATCGACTCAAGACGTTTCACAAGCAAACCAAGGCAACCGACAACAATAGTGAAGATCAATCGGCCATTACACATCTCAAGCAAACACGCCACAGATCAATTACCAGTCAACTTGCAGAGGTCAACTCAAGCACAACCAGCACCGACAAGCCAATCTCAACGCAACGACGAAACCGATCCGACTCCAAGCAGGATAAGCGCAACTGACAAACCAACGGCAACGTAGCTGCTCACCAGCAACTTGCAAACGCTCACGAAGCAATCAGACTAACATTTCACCAAGCACTGTCACAACTCAACGACACAAAGCATCAATACCGCCTTGGTCTCTCAGCAGCAATGTATCAAGGAAAATTCATGCCTCACAATCAAGCAGATCCAACCAAGCGCAAACCATCAAGCTTTCAAGCAGGAGGAGAAACCTTCATCCCTGAGCTCAATCGACACAGATACAACTTCACACAACTTCAAGGTCGACCAAGCAATCACGCAAGCAAACGCTCACACTAAGTCAGGGGAGATCAATATTGGCACACGCCAATTTAATAAACAAGCTGCAAATCAGTCTTCACCAAATCAGCAGCGAAAAATATCAGGACAAGCAATTCCAAGGACGACCAATCCTCTCAACGCAACATGGCTCGGTTCATTCACAAGTGTCAGGCAGCAAGTTCAACCAAGCAACGGCCCACTAATCAATCAGCCAAGCTGTCACGCACACAACAGAAGCAAGCTTCAGCAATGTGATCTTGAGTAGACGGTCCCTCGGTGTGCAATCCACATGTCTGAGTATTCTCAATCAAGTGGTCGTCGATATACCGACAGCAGGAATCCAAGGCAAGCAGCACAAGAAGCCAGCACCAACTACTCAACTCAACTATCAAACAGCACGCTCAATCCGAACAACCAATCCGCTCTCAAAAGCTTCGCATGTCAATGACTGAGCTGTTCAAGCAGCTAGCACAAGGACAGAGGCTAATCTATACAAAACGGTTTGGGCTTGTGTTCTCAAGTTTTAGACCCAACTTGGCCAAACACAACCAACTCAAGCTGCAATAGATCGCGACTGAGGAAACACCAATCACACCATCAAGTCTTCCAAGCAGTTGCAATACTCACACATG